CTGAAGGTATTTGATTTTTATTACCTAGCTTATAATGATATATATATATATATATATATATATATGTATATATATATATCATTATAAGCTAGGTAATAAAAATCAAATACCTTCAGCAAGGCAGAGCTATTTGCTTAATCTGTTTTCAAAATTTACTCAGCTTTGCAGCGCAGTTTCAATCTGAAGCTAAACATGAACGGCAGCATTTCAATATCTCGCCGACTGAGAGCGCTAATCTGCCTCGGGCTGCTTATCAGTGGGGTAAGTCGAGTCAAATTCCACACGCTACCTATATATTTGTATATACATATATATCATATTCGATTTCATTGTCAGAGCGCAGCTGATTTGAGTAAGGACAACGCGGCAGCCGATTTGTCTGTGAGGGAGATCGAGAGGCTCTACAATGAGGTGCTAGACTCGAGCATAAATAACTTCCGGCAGAGGATGCGTAGCACGAAGAGCAACAGCTCAATTGATAAGCAATATTTCGAGATGTTAGACAAAGCCACGAATGAGAGTTACTATAGCACGGCATACCTCATATTCTCCCTCATTCACGACGACTGGCTCAAGGGGCGCCAATCAGACGAGGTGCTACAGCAGCTGCTGCCCGAGGAGAAAGTCTCCATTCGCGCCTTCTTCTCCAAGGCCCGATGGGAGTTGGTAAAGTACTTCGAAGCCACGCACACGACGAACGAGAAGATACTGCAGTATGTTTCCCGTTGGCAGATCGAAACCGCAGATAGCATCATCGAGGCCTACATGGAATTTCCCAGCAAGCTACGAGAGACGGTGCCAGAGCTGCAGCTAATGGACTACATGGCCCAGGGGAGAATTATTATAGAGGCCGTTGCCCGAGCATTTGCCCGAGCATAAAAAATTTATATGAATTATATACTATGGAATTTGCATACATTTTCACGTATATATTTAGATATTTATTGTTCTTATATATTAACACCTGCGGTATGAAAAAGTAGTAGTAAGACATAAGAGACCTAAAAATTAAGACAATACTTGAAAACAAATTGAAACGAATATTAAAATTAATTAATTTATATGTCGATATTGATCTACCTTAGCTCTACATTTCTGAACCAATTGAAAATGGGAAATCAGGGTATAATGTTTTTGTGAAAAAGTATGTAACAGGCAGAAGTAATCATCGCAGACCCGATAAAGTATATATATTCTTGATCAGCACGACGAGCTCAGTCGATATAGCCCAGTGCGTGGTCCGTTGTCCGTCCGTCCGTCTGTCTGTATGAACGTCGAGATCTCAGAAGATATAAGAGCTACAGAGCTGAAATTTTGTGTGCAAACTCGTGTATACCATACGCAGTACGAGCTTATCATAGTTTTCGATAACTCATCCGATAACTTTTTTATCGAGAATGATCGAAAATTTGGTTTTTCTTTTTTTAGCCTCATTGGAATACCTGGAGACTGTGTATATACATATAATGAATACAAACATTTGAGGTTTTGGATACCACGCCCCTTCGCCGTCAATTTAAAAAAGAATTACTTCAAATACTAGAGAGTTGTGCTTTGGAATGTACATACATTTTCACCATATGTTTACGCTCTAAAAGTTTCGTTAAGATTGTATGTCTACAAAAGAAATTAATCAACAAATATATAGCATACTATTGCCTTATGCGTGAGTGTGGATGCATATGTATGCATGCATAAAAGAAGTGCAGAATAATTGGAATATCAGCTTGTGGGGTTCAGGGCATCTCCTAGTCGAGCAGTCTCGACTAGAGCCTTCTTACTTGTTATATTCATATTCATATTCATGAAAACGCAAAGCTATTCATATAATCTTCGGCGAGTCGAAGTCGAAGTCGACTGTCTTTACATATGTGACTGTACAAATTTTCTATCTGAGCACAGTAATTATTTATAAGTATATCTCTCAGCTGGGAGCTTTTCGATCGCGTGAATCTGCCACGAGAGAGTGTAATTACTATACAGTTATGTATTCAGTTTTTACAGCAGGAGTCGGGTCTACTGGTTCACCAATTTGTAGGCCTCTGTGTTGATCAGCCTCATGAAGTCCTCGTATTGGTGCAGCACCTCTCTCACAGCCCGCAATGCGGGCAGCAGGAGCACTTCCTCGCTGATCTTGCCCACGTAGCTGATCTCAAGGGTCTCCAACTGGGCGCGCAGGTTACTGTGGCTGCGTCTCAGCGAGCGCAAGCGGCGCTGCACATGCCGCTGTCCGCAGCGAGTGCCCTGTGGACGGCACTGATTCACGAATGCAGCCAGGTCTTGACCCAGTTGCTCCAGGGCCTGGAGCCATGAGTTGAGGTCCTCGTTGAACTGCTGCTCCTTGAGCTGTTGCTCGTCCTGTTGCTGCTGTCTGAGCAGCTTACGCAACTCCTGGAAGCTCGCTCTGCCAGGCAGCGCCACAGTCAGCTATTAAATAAACCCGACAAGTTATCAACCAAGCAAACAGGCGTGCCACATAAACAACCTACACCCATTAGCATCAGCAGCAGCAGCAGCAGCATCAGAAGCAGCGGAGCTTTGATGAATAATCGCGCACTCATCATTTCATTAGCGGAACGTTGTTATCACGTCAAGCGAATCGTATTAACTGATTATAGAGTAGCGAATATTTCACCGATCCCACGATCCTCCCATTGTGTGCGTGCCTATAAGAGGCTACGTTAGCTACGTTAGAACAATACAGTCTTCCGAGTAACGCACAACCGGTGGCAGCATGTGGCGTATCGTGCTCCTCTTCGCAGTCCTGCACTCAGCGGTAAGCCAAGCCAATCGGACAGGAGATAGTTGTTGAGTCCACTTGATCCAAGATTCAGTTGTCTAATAAACTAAACTAAATCTTTGTCTATCTAACTATCTATCTGGATTTATACCAATTAAAAGTAAACGTAACTACAACTTTTTATATTCATTCTCGAAAGTGAAATTGTCCGTCCGTCTGTCCGCAAGAACGCAGTATATTTCGGCGCTATTGAAGCTAGAGACTTGAGATTTGGATATGCCGGAAATAATGTTAGTTGAAAAAAAGCTGAAATTTGGTTTATTTAGGCATTATTGATGCTGAAATTTGGTATATATAGGCAGGTTGACCTCCCAAGTCCAACGAGCAAAAGTTTATATCTTCTACAGCTGAAGCTTCAAATTTGGATAGTTAAGTTACTATTAACCTCCTCTATCGATTCTCCAATTAATATTGATACGTCTCTTTAGGGCGTGGCTTATCGAAAAATACCCTGTAATTTTCACATTTAGGTGAAGTGAACTTTCTACGGTATTAGAGCTAAACTTGGCTACTAAATTGCTTATGGGGTGTGAATGAGTATTCCGCAGTCGGTAACGCCCGGCAACGTTTTTACTTGTTATATATAAAAGTATGTAACAGGCAGAATGAATTATCGCAGACCCCATAAAGTATATATATACGTGATCATGACGAGCTGAGTCGATATAGCTCTGTCCATTGTCCGTCCGTCTGTCTGTATGAACGCCGAGATCTCAGAAGATATCACAGCTAGAGAGCTGAAATTTTGTATGCAAACTCGTGTATACCATACGCAGTACGAGCTTATCATAGTTTTTCGATAACTCATCCGACAACTTTTTTAGCCTCATTGGAATACTATTAGACCTGGCGACTTCAGATTTACTATGTATATACATATGATGATTACAAACATTTATTTTAAGAACGTATTTCAAGTACTAGAGACTTGTGCTTTGGAATGTATACACATTTTAACCATATAATTACGCTCTCATTACGATTGTATGTCTACAAAAGAAGTTATTCGTCAAATAAATTCTCATACTATTGCCCACACTGCAGTGCAGCCCAAGCGCAGTTGCTGCTTACTGCGCAGTTAGCAGAGTGCGGGCGCGTGAGGGTGGATGCATGTGTGTATATGTATATGTGCATAAAAGTAGTGCAGAATGATTAGTATATCAGCTTGGAAGGTTCAGGGTATCTCCTAGCCGAGTAGCCTCAACTAGAGCCTTCTTACTTATTTTTTATCTTCTTTTTAAATCTAATATTGAACTCGAATTTTTTTTATGCAGTACACAAACCCAATTACATCCTGTGAAAAACTGGAGTCAAGTCTAGTGCGTGAGGCCACGACTTTCGGAAAGCGGGCATTGATCGAGTCGGTTGAGGTACTTCAGCGCATTATCGATGCTGCCGAGCGACTGGACCCCAACGAGATGGATCGGATTATATTTGATGAAATTGCCACATTCATTGAACGGGCCAGCCACAAAGTTGACTTTGAGGAGCTAAATGACTTGTTGATATGGCTAATGGATCTATTAGATCTATATTATGAAGAGCAGGAAGATGATGGCTTGGAGATAAACGGATCCGAGAGTCTTGTGGACAAGCTAATGCGTCAGTTTGGCTTCGACACATTCGAGCAGAGCCTGGAAAGGCAACTTTTCACCTTCCTGGAACGAACTGAAGATCACATTGAGGCTTATCTAAGAAGACAGAACATCAAGGACTCGGAGCTGCCAAACTGGTTTACGGCCTTCAAAGACGAAAGTGATATTGAAATTAAGTATTTGATGTTAGAAGACATTATTGAAGACTTAGAATGCTAACCTACTTCATAGAATGGTTAACTAAAATATTTTAGTTTGAGTTTCCATTAGATAAGCATGACAAGGACATATCTATTTATGATTAAGTTATATTGTTGAATACTTAATGTACTTAATTTACTTTTAATAATATATGTATGTAAAATATTTCGATGAACATATCAGCTTCAGCATATAACAAGTAAGAAGACTCTGGTCGAGACTGCTCGACTAGGAGACACACTGAACCCTCCAATCTGATATTCTAATCATTCTGTACTCTTATGCACATACACATGCACGTATAAAACGAGCTCTGCTAACTGCGCAGTAAGCAGCGACTGCGCTTGGACTGCGCTGCAATGTGGGCAATATTATGAGAATTTATTTGTTGACTAATTTTATTTCTAGACGTATGTACATCCCTAAGCATTTCTCTAGTATTTGAAATGCGTTTTTTACAAATTGGGGACGAAGGGGGCGTGGTATCCAAAATCTGTAAATTACAAAATGTTTGTACTCATCATATGTATATACACAGTAAATCTGAAGTCTTCAGCTATAATAGTGTTCAAATTAGGTTGAAAAAACAATATCAATTTTTCGATTATTCTCGATAAAAAGTTATCGGATGATTTATCGAAAAAAATAAAGCAAAGTCGTACTGCTATGGTAAACACGAGTTTGCATACAAAATTTCAGCTCTCTAGCTCTTATATCTTCTGAGATCTCGGCGATCATACGGATAGACGGACAGGCGAACAACGGACAGGGCTATATCGACTCAGCTCGTCGTGCTGATCAAGAATATAATTACTTTGTGGGGTCTGCCACACCTCCTTCTGCCTGTTACATACTTTTTACAAAACCATTATAGCTTGATTTCCCATTTTCAATGGGTTCAAGATATAATAAGTTTAATTTCTTTTGAAGATAATTTTGTCGGTATATCCTTTAGCGTATCTCTAATACTATTCTCTAATATTCAATAATGAAAATTTGGTTATAATGGATACATACCATAACTAGAACTAGAGATTTCAGACTTACCGCGTACATCTGTATACTTATTATAGAGATAATACATATTTTTGTTGAGACATGGAAGCTATAAAACTGAATAACAATACTCTAAAATGAATAGTAGAAGCTGAACGCTACGAAAAATAACCAAGGCAACTTGTATGTCAAAATGAAACTATATCCAACTTGGCAAAAGCTGAATGTTATGAAATAAAATTATATAATCTGATTGCTGTTTATCTTAAAAAAAAAATCGAATGTTATGAGAATTGTTATAAGAACAAGGCAAGGCTCACCAAAATAAGACTTTGTTTCATAATAATTATGAAACTAAACAGTAAAAGCTCAGTGTTAGAGCACTGGGCCAGTTGAATGACAAGAGCTGAATAAAGAAAAGTTTTAAGCAAAGCGATCGTATGCCAAAACCTAAATTGACAATGATAACATAAGACAAGTTGTATGAAACTAAATGGCAGATAATGTGTGTTATAGAACTGCATGAGAACAGCTAAATATTATGAAACTCTACCTAACTAATAACTTGGCAAAGTTGATAAGTTGGATCGAATTCGAAGTATTAAAATCCTAAACTATATGAATTTACTATTTTTGTCGAAGTGCGTACTTAATTTGTGCATTTCTGTGTACTTAATTTAAATAATTTATTTAATTTTGGATTTGCGCAGTCAGTATATGTGGAAATATTTTTTTAACGACTTTGAAAATATACAGCTTTTCAGTTTATTATTGAGTATTTTTAGTTATTTGATTAGAAATCTTAGTTAAAACTTCCGATTTATCATGCCGTTTCCTAGGCGACTGTCGAATACGCTTTGCTGAATGTGTGGCGGACCATTGCCATCTGAGTTGTAGCTATAAGATTCTGAGCGATAGAAATTATTGGGAAAGCCACCACCAAAGCCGGACTCTTCGAAGTTGTTAATGGGAGTAAAAAATCCATTACTCGTCGATATGCGTGGACCCTATGAAAGTATTTCGCAGCTTGATCAACTGATGAAGAAAAATTGTAGTAAGTTAACATACCATCTGCGTGCTCAAAGGCATGGGGCCAGTGAAACCAGTTTCGCCAAACACTGTTTGACCTAAACGCGAAGGACCACTGATTCTGCGACTATTAACGAAAGGGCCAGTAATCGTGCCCAATGTGGTGTCAAAATTGGGCTTTTGAAAACATATAGGAAGGAATAGGTTAAGCTATTTTTTTAGAATTCGATTTTATACCGTATTAAATCCAGCCGAAGAAGAGGGCAGGGGTGCTGGACGACTAAAGCGACTTTGTTTTGAGAATGTCGGAGCGGATGGCCATGAGCTATCCTCACGATTTCCTTCCGAGGATCCGAATCTTGGATGGGCTTCGGCCGTAGAATGCTGCAAGGATGCAACAATATAAATTTACAAATATAGATAGCTTGTATATTTATGGCGCTTAATTTGTACAGCCATGCACTTTTAATACTGACCTCTTGAAATGTGGAACGATAATTAGTGCCGTTGTTTACGGGGGGGAGACTCTCTTTAACATTGGTTGATGAAGGCTGAAGAGGCTTAAACTTGTCCGATGGTATATCACGTGTGTCCCTTTTAGTGCGTACCTAAGTATACATATAATAGAAACAAACGATGTTGAGATGATAGTGACAGAAAGACAAAGAGAGAAGGAAAGAAAGAGGAGGAACCAACTTAGCTGGGAATACGCTTACCCAATCAACTGAAGCACTTTGACAGAACTGTAAAATTTTCATAAATTCAATAAATTAGTTTATACAATAATATGTATAAATATATCTGTATATAATTATGTGTAAATATAGTATTACCACTAATCCGATGAATAGGCATCCGACAATATTACAGAGGTGACTGAACATTTTCGATGCTTCGCGCTCTCTAGCCGACTGACAACTAAACGACCTATTGATTGAGCTTCTATAGAACTGAGTAACACGTTTGACTACATTAGTACGAGGTGAGAGATGTTGAATGAGAGTATTGCTGATCAGCTATCAGGGTTATCTGCGTTACAGGCGGGAAAAGCCACGATTTGCAATGAATAGGCATTAAATACTATATAGCATGCACGCACACTCTTCATATTTCTAGTTTAGTTGCATCTCACTCATAAGAAGTCATGCATGGGGTCACCTGATTTCTTTGCTACAGATGTGACGCTTACAAAATACAATTTATATACATAACACATTCCTGATCTACACAATTAAAAAGATCTTACTACACATCATAAATTCAATAAGTCAGAACTCTTCCGCTTAGAGCAGCCTCATTTATTTATATGTCATATACATAGCTACATTACACTCACCATATTGTAAAGTTCAGACATAGAAAAAAAAGATCAATCGTGGACTCTGAAATCCCCTGAACCCTTCGAAGAATTGATATTTCACAATAATTCTTGACGTCTTTTTGCCTGTACAAAAAACACAGAAACATTGAATTGGCGCAATGTGGGCTTACCACGGAAACTTAAATGATTAATAACTTTTCTTGCTGATGGCCGTGTATTGGCCGAAGCCAAAAGTGAGGATGAGGGGTAAAGTACAACAAAAATCAAAATTATATAAAATACATTCTTATGTAGACTCTTGTCTACATTTAAATTTTGGTGACTAATGGTGTAGGAGATATAATTAAATAACTAGCTTTCGATAAGGTTTTTAATCGATAAT